CACACACACACACACACACACACACACACACACACACACACACACACGCACACGCACACGCACACGCACACAGACACAGACACAGACACAGACACAGGCACACCCATTACTAGAATAAAAGTCAGAATGTGATAAGTGTGTAGAAGTCAGATAGAAATGAACTGAGAATCTAAGAGGGTGAGGCCATTTCTAGGGAGAAGGTCAAAGAAATTTTAGGAGGAGGTAATACCTGATCTGAGCCCTGAAGGCAAGAATTTCAAGAGGTAGAGCTCCAGGATTGTGTCTGAGCCAGGGGTCTTAGTGGGCATTCTCAAATGCATGGAGGCTGGAGAGGAGAAGCAGAAGGGAAATGAGCAAATATTTACTAAGCACCGAATATGTCCCAGGCACAGTCCTAAGCACTTTATGATTATTGTTTAATTTGATCCTTCTAACCACCCAAGGAGGTAGGTGCTGTTATGATCCCTATTTTACAGTTCAGGAACCTGAAAAAGACAGAGGTTAAGTGACCTGCACAGGGTCACATAGCTAGAAAGTGTCTGAGACTAGGTCTGGACTCTGGCCTCTTTGACTCTAGGTCCAGCACTCTATCCACTATGTAACTTAGATGAAAATAATATGATATGGATGGACTGTGGAATGCATGAAGGAGAAGTAGATAAACAGGTCTGAAAAGCTAGTTTGGAGTGCCAATGTGGAGGGCTTTGAATACCTGGATAAGGAAGTGGTATTTTATTCTGGAGGCACTGGGGAACCATTGAATGATTTTAGCAGTGGAATGATATGATCAGACTCATGCATTAATAGGAGTAGCAAGGGGAAGGATGGATTGGAAAATAAGCCAGTGGAGAAAGGGCAATCGGTAAGGAGATCATTTTAATAGTCAGACGTAGACATGCTTGCAGAAGAAGTAGAAAGGAGGGAATGAACATAAATCTACTATGGAAAGAGATAGATAGCTGATGGGATGTGGGCTTGGCCACATATTTGGTAAACACATAATCTATGTCATTGGTTTAAAAAAGTATTGAACAGCACAGATCCAAGGATAGATTTCTGGGATACTGTATTAGAGACTCTCATCAAGGGTGGTATCCGTTACATACACACACACACACACACTTTTTTTTTAAGCTTTGAGTTCCAAATTCTATCCTTCCCTCCCCTATATTTAAAATAATTTTTATTGAAGTTTTCTTTAAATGGATCAACCTAATGTTATCCTTTTAACAGTCTTAAGAGCACAAAAGAGGATTTTAGTGCTTCTATTTTTTTCCATCTAAGAATACTGTTTCTTGTCACTATCTGATTCACTTCCTTGACATGACCTCCATGTTCCCAGCTAGGGAACACTTTCAGATTCACCTATTAAAACTATCACCACAACCACCACCACCACTACCGCTACCACCAATTCTAGGTATAAAAGTTTTTTCTCATGAATGTCCTAAAACATACCCAGTAACTTGTTAAATACCATATATCTTAATTGAGTCAGGGTGGTAAAGTGGACTGAAATTATAAACTTGGGAAAGCTATTTCAATTCTCCTAAATCTTGGCTATGGGCAGCTAGGTGGCATAGTAGATAGAGTGCCTGGCCTGGAATCAGAAAGACCTGAGTTCAAATCTAGCCTCAGACACTTACTAGCTGTGTGACCCTGGGCAAGTCACTTAACCTTGTTTGCCTCAGTTTCCTCCTCTGTAAAATGAGCTGGAGAAGGAAATGGCAAACCACTCCAATATCTTTGCCAAGAAAACCCAAAATGGGATCACGAAGAGTCTGAAAAAACAACAGCAGCAAGAGCAAAATCTCAGTTTTTCTGTAAAATGGGGGTAAAAAGACTCCTAGTTCCTGCTTCTCAGGATTGTTGTGGGCATCAAATGAGATAAGGTCTGTGAAAGTGCTTTTGAAGAATAAAATACTTTTCTTTTGCCTACAGTGATACATAAAGTATGATATAGTACTGGGAGGAAACAACTAGTACAACTCTTATTTAACATTTGAGGAAACTGAGGCCTAGAGAAGTGATGTGACTTGCCTTTGGTCAGTCAAGTAGCAAGAGGCAGAGCTGGGATTTGAACCCAGGTCCTCTAACTTCAAATCCAATGCCCGCAGCTGTTTCATATATGTGTATTGAAGATCTGAGGACCACTTTCGCCTCCTCTTCTTACCATCCATGTGACCTTCAGCATGTCATTCAAATTCTCTAGCCTTAGTTACTTCATCTGTACAAAGGGGATAATAATAAAATGTGTTTCGTATTGTTAATAAAAATCCAACGACATAACGTATGTTCTTTGAAGGCAGAGACCTTGTCCGATTTATTTTTATTCTGCCTTCAGTGTCTAACATTGATCCTGGTATACAACAGGAGCACTTTAACAAGGCTTAGTCAGTTGGTAAGAAAGGGAACGAATGGGGAAGGTCCTCTGAAAACTGTAAAGCATCTACGAACACCACCATGACTAGGAACAAGTGGCTTGAGAGCTAGAAGGCACTGTGGAGGCCAGGTAGTTCAATTCCCTCATTTTATCGATGAAGAAATCGAGGCCCGGAGAGGTTTAGTTGCCCATGGTCACACAGGTAATTAGTGCCAAAGCTGTCATTTGAACAAGGATCTTCTAATTCCAAATCTAACATTCTCTCCACTGTAGTGTCCTTCTTGTCCCCTTCCTCCCTCTTTTTCTTACCCTCCTCTACCTGTTCTTTATTCCTCTCTTCCTCATTTTCTTTCTCTTTTTCCTCTATCAGCTATTCCGGCCTCTAGTCCCTTTCCTTCTCTTTCTCCTTCCTCTTCTTCTTTTCCCTCTTCTCTTCTTCCCCCTTTTCTTTCCTTTCTTCTTCCCTCCCCTCCTCCTAAAAATTGTTCATCTAGGCTAAGTATCACAAACTCAGGCCCAGACAAGTGGCGCGAAGTACTTTCTCAGTTGAGGGGAGTAGGGCGGGAGAGGTGGGAGACAGAGACCCCTGTGTGAGGTTGAACCTAGAGAGGCCATCACATGGTGGGGGAGGGGCAAGGTGGGACAGGAGAGTAGCTCATTCCAATCACCATCTGGTAGTTTCTGATTGTAACTAATTATTATTCTTGCTAACTTGGTGCTAAGCTCAGTGTTGTCTAATTGATGAAGGACTCAAAGTGCTCTATACCATGTCATTTGAGCCTCACAAGAACCCTGTGAGGTAAGAACTGCAGATATTTTGATCCCTAATTTAGAGATGGGGAGAGTGAGGATGTTAGAAGTTAAAGAGTTGGGGCAGCTAGGTGGTGCAGTGGATAAAGCACCTGCCCTGGAGTCAGGAGGACCTGAGTTCAAATTCGGCCTCAGACACATAACACTCACTAGTTATGTGATTCTGGGCAAATCACTTAACCCTGATTGCCTAGCCAAAAAAAAAAAAAAGAAGTTGAAGAGTCACTGAACTGCTTAGTGACAGAGGTGGGATTCAAACTCAGGTCATCTGGAAGTGGGATGACAACTCCCTGAGCCCTCCTGAATCCTTGGAGACAGAGTCCATCTTCTGTGACATCCTCTGCACTGTCTTCTTCAGGGCAACCTTCACCTCTGTGTTCCTCAGACAATAGATAATGGGGTTGAGGAGTGGGGTGAGCACAGTATAGACTACTGACACCAGCTTATTATAGTCAAAAGAGTAGAGGGCCCGGGGCCGGGCATAGATGAAGAGTGAGGCTGAGTAGAAGATGACCACTACAGCCAAGTGAGAGGCACACGTGGAGAAGGCCTTCTGTTGGCCTGAGGCAGAGGGGATCTTCAGGACAGTGGAGATGATGGAGACATAGGAGAAGATGGTAACTAGGAGGGGAACAATCAGGATGAGCAATGCCAGGAGAAAGTCAATGAGCTCGGCCATGGACATGTCGGTGCAGGCCAGGTTCAGCAGTGGGGACACGTCACAGAAGAAATGATTCATGAGATTGGGTCCACAGTAGCCAAGGCGTGAGATGAAAAAGACCTTTCCTAGCGATACGGTAAAACCACTGAGCCAGGAGCTGGTGGCCAGACGGAGACAGAGACCAGGGCCCATTATGGCCGGGTAGCGGAGTGGGTTACAGATAGCTACATAGCGGTCATATGCCATGACACCCAAGAGTGCACACTCAGTGCAGGCCAGTCCTAGAAAGAAGTAGAGTTGGGCCATACAACCCATGAAGGAAATGCGCCCAAATTCAGGTGCCAGGAAGGTAAGCAGCATTTTAGGCACAGTGACAGAGATGTACCACAACTCTAGGAAGGACAGGTTACTGAGGAAGAGGTACATAGGCTTGTGAAGCGAAGGGTTGACTCTGATCAGAGTGATGATAATGATATTTTCAATGATAGTCAAAGAGTAGACCAGCAGGAACAACAGAAAGAGGAACAGATGGAGCCCCACAGAGCCAGGGAAGCCCAGGAGGATAAACTCAGTTACCTGTGTGTAGTTGTCCCATGTAAACATGGCTGCCACAGAAATGTTCAATCTAAAAAAGGACCAAAGACAGCGAAGGTTAGACAAGTGGAGTATTAGGCAAAAAAGAACAGTAATGACAGTCCCCCTGGCCCACCTGAAGCCATGGGATTGGCACCTTGTATAATCTGGCTTCAACATTCATTATCTCCTTTTCTTGGAATCAGAGAGCTGGTTTCAAGACCTACAGCACAACAAGGCTTCACACACTCTTTGCTAGTAGAATGGAAGCTTCTTGAGGGCAAGGGCTATTTTAATTTTTATTTATTCTTTCTGGCATTTAACCATGGTGCCCTGCTGGCAATAGGTGCTTATTAAATCCTTGCACAATTGAATTGAGAATGCTGTGGACAGAGAATACTAGTTGTCAACTGCCCTTACGTTTCATGCATTCTGGCCTTCGTGCCTTTCCTCAAACCTTTCCATACACTTTTAATCACCCTAATCTCCCTTCCTCCAGCCAATAATTGCAATTTTATCCCTACCCATTTGAGGCAGCTAAGTGGTACAGAGGATAGAGCACTGGATCTGTAGTCAGGAAGACCTGAGTTCAATCTGACCTCAGACAGTTACTAGATTTGTGACCCTGCAGATGGCACTTAACCCGTCTGTCTAGTTTCCTTATCCGTAAAATGAGGATAATAGTATCTACCTCCAAGGGTTGTTTTGGGGATCAAATGAGATAATATTTGTGATTTGTGCAAATCTTAAAAGCTTCACTTCTCCCTTCTACTGTGCAAAAAATTGTAACCTGTGTGCTATTGTCTGTTACAGACTTTCAGACTTTGACAGCATATATGACTTGATTTATCACAAAAACACTTAGACATTCTAGAACCATAGAATTGTAAACTTGCAAGGGACCTCATAGGACAACTAGTACAAGCTCTGACTGAGCAATGGTATCCCTCAGATCACTCTGACAAGTCTCCAATTGAAGAGCTCCAGCTCTGGACATAATCCAGTGTGTCAATCATGGTTTGTCATTACTTTGCATTAACCATCATTCTGGGTCAGTAAGATATTCAAACTTCTTTATTTTGTACTGAAACTCAAGAAGACCCATGATTTAATTGTTGAGAGAATCATAGGATCATAAACCTAGAGATGGAAGGAGACCCATGGGCCATCCTTCTAGTGAAGTGATGTGCCCAGGCACTCCTATTCCTAGAATGTTCTCTCCTTAAAGTGTGCTTTCCAGTGTACTGAGCTACCTTGGTTTCCTAACAGAGGACACTCCTTCTTCTGATTTATTTTTCCCTTTTCCATAGATCACAACTCCCTCCATGAATTAGTAGATGATCATTGTGAGTTGCTGTGCATGCCCCAACCCCAAAAACTATCCTTTGGTGGCTGGCCATCTATTGATGAACCTCTCTGGACTTGGCCAAAGTGGCCCTTGAAGAATGTATGGAGTCGGACTTGTGCTTTGCTTAGCATCTGAGCTGAACTTTAAAGACGGTGAAAACTTCAATAAATCTAGAGAGGGAGGGCAGAAATTCCAGGGTTAGTAATAATAATATTTATAGCAACAATATCAATGAAAACCTTGTCTCTGGAGTTGGAGGCTCTGGATTAAAATCCCATCATTGACACTACCTGTGTGAAATTAGACAAGTCACTTTTCCTTCTTGGGTAGGTTTCAGTTTCCTCATCTATAAACTGAGAAGTTTGGCCTAGTAGGACCCTAAGACCCCTTTGTAGCTCTAAAGCTGTAATCCTCCCATTGTATGACAGTTCACATTCCTTTATTGCTTTAAGGTTATAAATCACTTTACTCACATTCCTTGAGTTACGTATCATGGGTATCATTGTTCCTCATCTGACAGATGGGGAAACTGAGGTTCAGAGACATGAAATGATTTGCCCAGCATAACAAAGGTCGTAAATGTCAGAATTGGGGCTCAATACCAGCTCTTCAGAATCCAAGAGGGGGTAAGCCTACAGGATGGGTGGAGACCAGAGAGAAGGCTAGTTTGGCTGGAGCAGAGATGCCTTGGGAGGAGGACTTGTAACACTCTCTGTTTTTTCTGGATGACTGACAAAGCCTTGGAAAATGCAGGTCCATCTCCATGAGACATTCTTGTCTGATATTCAAGGCCCTTCACAAAATTTGACACCTCTCTTCCGTGCCAGTTATATTCATTTTTCTCCCCTCTCCTGTATAGAATGCTTTAGACAAACTGGGTTGCTTTCTAACCCCCAAATATGACTTGGTATTTCTTATCTCAGGGCTTTTGCCCATGCTATGCTATATGCTTTAAATATCATCTCTTACTCTCTTTTGTTGAATTTCCACCTGTCCTTCAAAGCCCAACTCAAATGCCACCTTCCCCAGAAAGCTTTCATTGACTGTCCCATCATCCATCAGTGATGATCACCCTTTTGGACCTCATAGATTAATTTCTTTTATGCATTGATCTTTTTATTGCCTCTTTTTGTATCCCTAGTGCTTAGCAAAATACCTGGCATACAGTAAGTAGGCACTTAATCAATGCTTATTCCTTTCCTTTCCCTTTATCATTCAACATTATGTATTATAATTGTCTATGTCTGTGTCTGACTTCTTTACTACATTGGAAGTTCTATGAGGGAACCTTATCTTATCTTGATTTTGTTTTTCCCCAGCACCTTGTACTGGGCTTAGCACCATATAGGTGCTTAATAAGTGTTTTCAAATTAAATGAATACATTTTATAATCCCTGTTCCCTTTGTTCATTACATTTGCTCAAGTCCTCTTCTTTCCCTTCCTACCTTCGTCTTCCTTTTCATATTAATAAATATTGAATGGAGGAAGAAACGGTGCTTAGTAATGAAGAAAAGATCAAGGGTAGCCCACTTAGGAACTCAGGGGAGTTTTAAGGTCATTGAATGGCTATTTCTCACATCTGTATACAGATGTGTTTTGGGAGAACTTCTATTTTTCCAAAAACTGTTACTGCTGAATGTGGGGCTGAAAGTGGGGGTCTTATATTTGGATCTAGTACATGGGCAGAAATTCCTCAGGAAGTTAACCCTCAGAAACGACTAGGATTCCTTATGCTCCAAGATCATTTTACAAAGGGAATATTAAAGGAGGTAGTGGAATGTTGAGACCTTCATATCTAGCTGACCCAGACCTACCACTGATCTCTCTTGTCATCTTCATTCCATATTACTTGAGGGTACCTCTCCCTTCCCTTCCCTTGCAACTGAGGGAAGAGTAATTAAATCAATGCTACCATTGGTAGAGAGGATGTGTCAATCAATTGTCTCTTGGTTTGATTTGCCCCCCTTATGCCTTCCCAGGCCTGAAACATTGTAAATGTTCAATAAATGCTTTATCATTCATTCATTAATCCATTCATTCCATAATGACCTAAATACTCATGGATATAGAAGAATTTAAGTCATCCTGCCTAAAGATTGGGGGATGAACTGAATATCTTGGGGCCTTTTTCGCTCCCTCCCCCAAATTTTTATTAAAACATGATTTTATTAAAGCAAAGCACTGAAAGGCATGTCAGCATTTGTGTGGTTAGATACTCTTTTGACATCTAAACACACCCAACCTGTCTATCCTCTCGGCAGAACACCTGGGTTCCATGTTTTGCTCTGAAAAACAGTCACCTCATGGTACTTTGCCACTATCCAACAATCTGAAGCCAAAGGTCACAGAGCATATTGCCAGATTCATTTGTTAAGGGGAGATGAGAAGAATAAGAGAGGTCCCTTTGTGGTTATTGTTTCTAAAATGAATTTTAGGAAATGAAATATTTCAGCTTCCATCTACCTGTAGCATTTCATTGCTTTAGGGAAGGTACAGAAACAATTGAGAAAAACATGTTGAAATGCAGAGAACTTGCTATGACAACTTTAATGCCAAGGGTCAGTGGTTTCAGTTGCAGCAAGAGGTTAGACATGAAAGAGCACCCAACCCAATGTGCTGGAAGCCTTCCTTTATGTATGTTAGCATTACAGGGGGAAAGTGTCCCATGCAACATTCAGGCTGTCCAATTGTTATTCTTTATTGTTGCTGTATGACCTCTGGAAAAGTTCACAGATCCATTGATTTATTTATGAAAGAGCCCAGGACTTGGGACCAAGAGCTGAGTTCTAATGTCTCTCGTGCTTCCTACCTATGTAACCAAGAGTAATTCACTTAATCTCCCTGAGCCTTAGTGTCCCCAGTTGGGATATGGGATGTAGGATAATAACAGCAAAGAAATGTGATAATAACAGCTATGGGCATTTCTTATAGGATTTTTTTTTGTTTTTAGGATCAAAAGAAATAATGAATGAAAAAGTACTTTATAAACCTCTAAGTGCCTACCTAAATGTTAACTGTCATGCTTATTTGTGGTATGGTCATTTAGTAGGTGGATGATCTTTTGCATCACCTAGCTTTTGGGGCCTTGGTTTCTTCTTCTCTAAAATGGGGACAATAATCTCTGCTCTGCCTTCCTTACAGGACTATTTGGAGAGCAAAATAAGATAATGGGTATGAAAATGGTCTGGGAACTAGAAAATTTTGTGGAAATGAAAGGGATAGCCACATGGAAGAAGGCATCATCTAGAGAGGTCGCAGGCTATCCTCAGGAGACAGTTAAAATCTTAGAATCACAGAATGTTAGAGCTGCAAGGTATCTCTGAGATCTGTTGGCCAAGCCAGAGAAGCACAGTCACAGTCTGAGACTGGTAAGGGACTTCAAAGAGAGACAGTGTAACTCATATCTGGACACCAGCTTACTCTACAGTGTCCTCCATCAGGAAGTCACCATCCTTTGCTTGAAGACCTCCAGGATGGGAGAGGATTTCTCATTCTGCTTTTAGACACCTACAGTTTTAATAGCTGGCAACTTACTAATCCCTTTGCAACTTAGTAATGATACTTATAATGGCTCGCATTTATATAGTACTTTAGGGTTTGCAAGTGATTTACAAATATCTCATTTCATCCTCACAGTACTTCTGAAAGGCAGGTGGTATTACTGCCCCCATTTCACAGAAG